TCATCAAGCCCACAGGCACAGAAGGCAGAGACAAACTGTTGCCACTCAATTCGATCCTGAGCCATCCTTTCTATCTCCAGTGTTGTCCTTCGCGTAACCTAGAGTTCATCCTTAAAGGTTGGCCTCCACGTGCCTCTAAGCCTGCCTCTTTCTCGCTGTTCTTGTGGTGTCCATTGCATTGCCTGTCTGGGTCGTCTCTCTTTCTTCATTCTGAGGACGTGTCAAATCCACCTCCATTTTCGTTTTTTGATTTCTAAATTTACATCATTTAAGTCTGTCATTTGTTGTAATCTAGAATTGCTGATTTTATCTTCCCATCTGAATCCCAACAATCTCTATCTTCCCATCTGAATCCCAACAATCTCTATCTTCCCATCTGAATCCCAACAATCTCTATCTTCCCATCTGAATCCCAACAATCTCTATCTTCCCATCTGAATCCCAACAATCTCTATCTTCCCATCTGAATCCCAACAATCTCTATCTTCCCATCTGAATCCCAACAATCTCTATCTTCCCATCTGAACTCCAACAATCTCTATCTTCCCATCTGAACTCCAACAATCTCTTTCTTCCCATCTAAATCCCAGCAATCCCATGAGAAGTCTTCACTCAAAAGATCTGTTTAGAGCAGAACTATGACTGCAGTGGTTGCCTTTAGTGGCCCCAGAATAGCAGTGGATACACTACTACCTTACAACAACATAGTCGAAACAAATCAGTTATTTACTTTGTGGTCTGAACTTTTTGGTCATCACTGTAGCTTTGTTCTTTCAGAGCCTGGTGTGACATTTATGGTTGGATCATAACAGTTTTATCTGCCAGAGAAAACATCAATACTCTGGCTTTGACAACCCGCTTTTCTTTAATATTTTCTGATCATTTTATAACATTCAAATATCTTATATCCAATCGTCATATTCATTGGAAACAGATGCACTTGTTCCTAGTTATCATACCATGATATACGGAGGTGAATCGTGGACAGTTAGTCGACAGACAGACAAAAGAGAAATGCCGATGTCTTGAAAGAAATGGACTCATGAAGAGAACTCATCAGATAATCTACATTCTTTGGTCATGTTATTAGAAGGAGCAAACTCCAGAACATGGTGACAGTGGGAAAGTTCAAGAGGAGAAGAGGCAGAGGGAGTCCACGAGGGAAGATGGTGGACATTCTAAAATCATGACATGGAAGACTGTGTCAGAATTTACTAAGTACACAAAACAGACGGTTGTAGATAGATGACTACCAATAACACAAGGTGTGGAAGATCATCTGTGTCAGAACTGACTAAGTACACAAAACAGACGGTTGTGGATAGATACTACCAATAACACAAGATGTGGAAGATCATCTGTGTCAGAACTGACTAAGTACACAAGACAGACGGTTGTGGATAGATGACTACCAATGACACACGATATGGAAGACCGTCTATGTCAGAATTGACTAAGTACACAAGACAGACGGTTGTGGATAGATGACTACCAATGACACAAGATATGGAAGACTGTCTATGTCAGAATTGACTAAGTACACAAGACAGACGGTTGTGGATAGATGACTACCAACACCACAAGGTATGGAAGACCGTCTATGTCAGAATTGACTAAGTACACAAGACAGACGGTTGTGGATAGAGGACTACCAATGACACAAGATATGGAAGACCGTCTATGTCAGAATTGACTAAGTACACAAGACAGACGGTTGTGGATAGATGACTACTAATGACAGATGATATGGAAGACCGTCTGTGTCAGAACTGACTAAGTACACAAGACAGACGGTTGTGGATAGATGACTACCAACACCACACGGTATGGAAGACCATCTGTGTCAGAACTGACTAAGTACACAAGACAGACGGTTGTGGATAGATGACTACCAACACCACACGGTATGGAAGACCATCTGTGTCAGAACTGACTAAGTACACAAGACAGACGGTTGTGGATAGATGACTACCAACACCACACGGTATGGAAGACCATCTGTGTCAGAACTGACTAAGTACACAAGACAGACAGTTGTGGATATATTATTAATAACAGTGTACGGTATGGAAGACCATCTGTGTCAGAACTGACTAATTACACAAGACAGACGGTTGTGGATAGATGACTACCAACACCACACGGTATGGAAGACCGTCTGTGTCAAAACTGATTGAAGTACACACAATAGAATGTTGTGGAGAGACATGACTACTAACTCCACAAGATATTAGCTATCAGAAAAAATGCTCGCTTCCTTGCCTTTCCTACATTATCAGTTTGAGTGTCTTCTAAGAAAAGACAAGTTTTCCCCCTTGGCTGCCTCAATTGTTGTCCCCTTTTCTTTTATTTAAATCTGTTTATCCCGGACAGATTATGTAGCTATTGTGTTCTTGAAGATGTTCTGCCAAATACCAGTGCAAGTATAAATAATCTATGACAGTACTAAACTTTGACAGCAATAATCTGTGACAGTTTTACACTCCGACAACAGTAGTATATTATAGTACCAAACTCTGACAGTAAAAATCAGTGACTGTATTAAACTCTGACAGCAATAGTGTATGACAGTATTAAACTCTGACAGCAATAGGGTATGACAGTACTAAACTCTGACAGTATTATTCTATGACAGTACCATACAACCGCTTAATGCGATCTCGGATGTGACCAATTTCTGTTGTGTGGGTTTATCCCCGACAATTTCTCTTACTTGAACACAAAAAAAAAAAAAAAAGACACTTCTGATAAAAAGAACCATTTCTTGGGGTTTCCGCCGAGTTTTCCTTATCAGATGTGCACTGTGTTAAACTCTGATCCTGCAAACTCTGACACAGTAAACTCATGCCATAAAGAAATGTAGAGACACTCAAACAGAAAACAAACAAGAGCATGAAATTTACAACAGTGTATACAACAGTAGCGACGCTGCAAGTACAAATTAAAGCTCTTTTTATGCAATATGGTTCTCGCTCATTGAAGGGAAGTTTCTGACTGCGGTATTTAGGGGGTAAAGGATTTGCAATATATTCTTTATAACAGACTCATTATTACCAATTTAATTCATCTTCCTTGCTAACAGCCGAGCACATCTGACATCAGTCGTCAATGTCAGGATTCCACTGTTATATTCTCTAGTTTTCCACTTCTGCTGTACCTCTTCTCCTCTAACATCCACTGTTATATCCTTAATTTTCCCCTTCTGCTGTACCTCTTTCCCTATAACATCCACTGTTATATTCTTAATTTTCCACTTCTGCTGTACCTCTTCTCCTCTAACATCCACTGTTATATCCTTAATTTTCCCCTTCTGCTGTACCTCTTTCCCTATAACATCCACTGTTATATTCTTAATTTTCCCCTTCTGCTGTACCTCTTTCCCTATAACATCCACTGTTATATTCTTAATTTTCCCCTTCTGCTGTACCCCTTCCCCTCTAACATCCACTGTTATAATCCCTAGTTTTCCACTTCTGCTGTACCTCTTCCCCTCTAACATCGACTGTTATATTCTCTAGTTTTCCCCTTCTGCTGTACCCCTTCCCCTCTAACATCCACTGTTATATTCTCTAGTTTTCCCCTTCTGCTGTACCCCTTCCCCTCTAACATCCACTGTTATATTCTCTAGTTTTCCCCTTCTGCTGTACCCCTTCCCCTCTAACATCCACTGTTATATTCTCTAGTTTTCCCCTTCTGCTACCCCTTCCCCTCTAACATCCACTGTTATATTCTCTAGTTTTCCCCTTCTGCTGTACCCCTTCCCCTCTAACATCCACTGTTATATTCTCTAGTTTTCCCCTTCTGCTGTACCTCTTCTCCTCTAACATCCACTGTTATATCCTTAATTTTCCCCTTCTGCTGTACCTCTTTCCCTATAACATCCAATGTTATAATCCCTAGTTTTCCACTTCTGCTGTACCTCTTCCCCTCTAACATCCACTGTTATATTCTCTAGTTTTCCCCTTCTGCTGTACCTCTTTCCCTATAACATCCACTGTTATATTCTTAATTTTCCCCTTCTGCTGTACCCCTTCCCCTCTAACATCCACTGTTATAATCCCTAGTTTTCCACTTCTGCTGTACCTCTTCCCCTCTAACATCGACTGTTATATTCTCTAGTTTTCCCCTTCTGCTGTACCCCTTCCCCTCTAACATCCACTGTTATATTCTCTAGTTTTCCCCTTCTGCTGTACCCCTTCCCCTCTAACATCCACTGTTATATTCTCTAGTTTTCCCCTTCTGCTGTACCCCTTCCCCTCTAACATCCACTGTTATATTCTCTAGTTTTCCCCTTCTGCTGTACCCCTTCCCCTCTAACATCCACTGTTATATTCTCTAGTTTTCCCCTTCTGCTGTACCCCTTCCCCTCTAACATCCACTGTTATATTCTCTAGTTTTCCCCTTCTGCTGTACCTCTCCTCCTCTAACATCAACTGTTATATTCTCTAGTTTCTCCTTTTACGGAAAGAACTACCTCTCAGGTGTAGCTCTAGAACAATGGCTCTCAACCCACCTAAAGCTGCGACCCTTTAATACAGCTCCTTATGCTGTGCTGACCCCCAACCATAACATTATTTTTGTTGCTACTTAACTTTAGTGAATATATCTTTTCCCCTGTGAAACGGTCGTTCGTCCCACAAAAGGGTTGTGACTCACAGATTGAGAACCGCTGCTCTAAAACAACAGCTTCTGCTGTTTTTATTAACTGACCACAAATCAGAACCTGTTTAAAATTAAAGGTTAAATGGTTAGTCGAATTTTAACAAAAATAATATCATATTTTGCTAGCGGAATGGACATTTTCTGAGTATTTCCAAAAGAAGCAGGAAAAAAAAAAAAAGCTTAACTGTACAGGCTTCATTTTGAAGAAGAGCAAACTGGCATGTGTCTGGAAACACTAGCAGAGCATGTTTGACCAGCCTTTGCTAAAAAATCTGGCATGGTAGCACTGGAAGGTTAATAAATGTAACTCACTGAACAAAGGACAAAAGTGTTGATTGTCATAAGGAGTTTGGCGAAGGACTTCCATACCCACTGGAGACATCATCGCTAAGACTTTGGGTCTGTCTCTTTATCTGGGTCAAGGCATTATAACCTGCGTAACCGTAATGTCCCATACCGCTATGGGCAGCACCTCCACCTCCACCACCACCACCTCCTCCTCCTCCTCCTCCCCCAGGTACTCCAGCGGCCACGGCGGCGTTACTGAAACTAGGAATACCATTTGAAAGTCCGTTTGGGTTGCCACCTTGGTTGACGGTGCTGCCTAGGTTTGCAAACATCATCCGTTCCTCGTAGTCGAACTCACACAAGATCTTGTTGTCTGCCAGGTAAAACCTGTCTCCCACACAGAATCTGGTAGTGACAAACAAAAATACACATCAATTAAGACATCAAGTTACCCCCCGTGTGGGTTTAAGGGAACTTCATTGTGTGTGCGTGTGTCTGTGTGTGTGCATGTGTCTGTGTGTGTGCGTGTGTCTGTGTGTGTGTGAATGTGTCTGTGTGTGCGCGTGTGTCTGTGTGTGTGCGTGTGTCTGTGTGTATGCATGTGTCTGTGTGTGTGCGTGTGTCTGTGTGTGTGAATGTGTCTGTGTGTGTGTGTGTGTGTGTGTGAGTGGGTGGGTGGGGCGGGGATAGACACAACGTCCCTCTTACAAGCATGTCGTAAATGCCAAATAATTAGGAGTCGCTTATGGTTTATACTTTCTTTTCTTCTTCTTCTTCTTCTTCTTCTTCTTCTTCTTCTTCTTCTTCTTCTTCTTCTTCTTCTTCTTCTTCTTCTTCTTCTTTTCTCTACCCCTGGAATGACTTGCTTAGTCAGCGGAGGTTTATACAGCGGATCAATATCATGGCACAAATGTAGTAACTTATAAGTGTCCCGTTCTAACTCAAGCCTGAATCCGAAGAATCTCACTGCAGTGCACGAACTCCGTTGCACCAGAGAGGATCCTGAAATACTTTGGGTAGGTTTTTAACTCCAAATTTTGCTCGGGCAGCGTCGTTAGGCTACTCTTTTCGATTTCCAACTGCCAAGGGATTTTTTTAAGTGCGCAATAATACACGCGGGCGTCAAATCTTACTACCCAGAGACCAGGGGAAATTATTAGAAACCCACGCGAAAAAATTCAAGCCTCCAACGGGGTCTGAACCCGGGACCTGCAGCATTCGAGGCGGGCGCCATTAGGAGTATTTCCTTTAAAGTCGAAGTGCCTCAGCCTGAGAGGTCAGGAACCAACAGTCTACAGATAAAAAAGCCCAATCTGTAAAACGGATGTGCACGCTAAACTCAAGTTCTGGAACAAGACTAAAGTCCAGTTATGACTGAATAACCAGAATTTTCCGCCGGAGTTTACAGCTTGCGAACACGAAGACATAAGACATCAAATTCAAAGTCTCGGTGAGGTTCCGTGGCTTATAGGTTAGGGAACTGTTTTACTATGCAATTCTCAACATGCAATAGGGTTAGATTCCCGCAGTTGACGCTTTAGAAAAAGACCCTTTTCGTGATTTTCGGCGGTACGAGAGTTGCCCCGTGGAAGAGACTGAGGTTTCACCACGTAATATTCGCGAATTTAGCAGTAACAATAAGTTAAAGTAAAAGAAATCGACTCCACACAGTTTTATCTATTTTTGCTCTGTTCGGCCCAAAGCACGAATTTCTCAGCCTAGCGATTTTGCAAATGTACCCTCTTACAAATGTTTAGGGACAGAGAAACAAGTACATGGGACAAGTACTAATGACGAAGAAATAGATTTCCGGTACAGTAAAGCTGTATTGAGATTCAAATCTGCACAAAGAAACATCCCATACAAAGCATATTCATCCCCACCCTATGCTACGATACGAAGCAGCAAATACAGACACGAGTAGCCCAGTGTACAGCTAATATACGTATTTAAAAATTTAGTCGTGTTTTTGATTGACTGGTGTATTTGCCGTGTTTAGATCCGAGGTCCCATTGGATCGGGAGGGGAGGGGTGCGGGGGGGGGGGGGGCAAGAATAGACCCACTGTCTCCCCAACAAGCATGTCGTAGGAGTCGACTATTTGGGGGCTTCCTTTGAAGTCGGATTTTCAGCTGTCCCGAGCGGTAAGGAACAAGCAAATGCATAAAAATAGGTCAGTAAAACGGCTGCACACGCACAACACAGGCCCTGGCACAAAGTGTGAATGGATGAACAACCAGGACTTTTCGTATGATGCTACACCCGGCGAACAAAGAAGAAGAAGAATAGTGTATTATTTTGTATGGTAGGCAAAAAGTGTCAGTAATTTTGATTGTTTTGAAACTATGAATGTCTGAAGAATATAAAAAAAATGGGTGAAGATTAATAAAGGACTCTGTCAACGTTGAGGGATGGGCCGAGTAGTGGCTTAGAAACATAATTTGCCTTATAAATCAGTCTCACTATTCGTAGAGTATTCAGAATACCAGCCTGGTCCATGGCTCGTCCGTCCTTCACAGAAGCCGTACCCGCACATCTCTCAGCTTGCTCATGTCCCCTCACGCCTGCATGCTCTGGCACGAAAATGTAACTGATCTCTGTAAGCTCCGGCCGCCCCAGAGACACCAACCACTGTCTTAGGACACACATCATCTCTACCTACTTGATCGTACTCATGGAATCCCCGAGAAAACATGCGCAGGTGAAAGTCTCAAGCCATGTTATTGCTTCGGTCACCGCCATGACCTCCACAGTCAGGCTGCTTGTGGCACAGTTATATTAGGGTACTACAAAACGATTAGGAAGTAACATGTAGTTAGTAATAGAAACGTTAGTCCACCCACGTACTGCCCACACTAGCTTACTTCCGACTGGTCGAACTTCAGTTTAGCTCACTTCTGATTGGTCGACCTTGAGCCACTTGAAACAAGGTGACGGGGGTGTTTCCCCCAATGCCGTTGTTATCGCGTCTTCTATATGTCAGCATTCCAGTGCCTTTAACACAACAAAAACATCGACAAACTGGGTCTAACACACAACCCCTTTAGAGAGTGACGAAACCTATGTCACAGGCATTCTCATTCTCGGAATAAAAAAAAAAAAAGTAAATGCAAGACATCCCAGAAAGCAAACAATAGAGCGGCACACCCATAACGTCCAGCAGGTTAGACCAGTACAGGACAGTTATAAATGGAACGTAACCTACTTTCTGTCGGGAGACTTTTGTTTGACTTATGTAGTCTAATGTGGGCGAGTAGGCATGACATTTTGGTCAACCTTAGCATACATTTGTCAAGTTAGTGAACCTCTTCGCTTATACAATGTCTGGTTTTTGAACTTCCACACAATCCTCTTCTCGTCCATTTTGTTTCCCAAGAATGTAAAAGTCAGATTGTGTCTTCGGCTTGTGCCATTCAAGGCTTTCCTCTTTTCAGTCTGTGACCTTTAGCTCTGCCTGAGCCTTCATGCAGGAGTTGTTTCATGTTTGCAGCTACTCTGACGTGTAAACTACTAGGAACTCTTTAAAGATAATCACAGTAGCTCGAAATGCAAGGTTCTATTACATACATACTACTGGGGTATCTCTTGTTCATCCTAGAACCATCCACATTGCTTCATTCTGCATGCGTTCAAGTATCATCAGCCGACTCTTTGATTCTGTTTGCAGCCCAAGTCCATAATCCATCACCAAGATACAGCGCATGATGATTAAACAGTTAGATGCGATTCATTTACAAGACTTTGCACAACCGAGCTCAGCACATGTGTGTGTGTGTGGTTGCGTGTGTGTTTGTATGTGTTGGTGTGTGTGTGGGTATGTTTGTGTGGGTGTGTGTGTGAGTGTTAGTGGGTGTGTGTGTGTGTTAGAAAAGGGGGGGGGGGGACTCGTTTTTTCTAGGCAGATTTATGTTCAGCAGTTTCACTGCCCTAGGAAACGTAAGGATATCAAATAAAAAAAAAAATAAAAAAATAAAATTAACATTAAATTTTCAATTCTAATGTCAAATTAGTACTGTTGTATGAAGCAGAAACAAGAACAACTAAGACAATTACTAATTAACTATAAACATTCATTAACTGGTGCCTGCGCAGAATAAAGGAGATTAAATGGTATGACATAATCACCAATGTAGAGCTCTGGGAGACAACTGAACAAATTCAAGAGGTGAAACAGAAGACGATGGCGATGGATAGGATTCACCCTGAGAAAACCTGAGAACAATATAACTAGAATGTCTGTGCACTGGAATCAACGGGGGCATAGAAATAAAATAAAAAAAAAAAAAAAAAAAAAACACCACATGGAGAAGGGAGCTGGAGAGTGAAGTTAAAAAGATGGAAAGGATATGGGGGAGGGCTGCATGCGATAGCGAAGGACAGAACGACTTGGCATGAGTTCGTTTAGGGCCAAGGCTCCACTCGAGAATAGAAAGAAAGAACTAAGAAGAAAGAAGTTTGCCACTGCTTCCTGGGTGGTCGACTATTGATCCCACAGACACAACCAACGCAAAGCGGCCTGTTGTTGAATAGTCTGCAGCTGGGATCGAACCCAGGCATTAGGAAGCGCGTTCGCAGCGGCTAGGTCACAGACGCCGACCGCATGATGATGATGCTAATACAGCTTTCCTAAATGTGGGCAGTTAGCGTTCTTTAGATATTTTATCCAGGTTATGCTAGTGTGTAGAGAAACGAACAGTGGGAGGAACTGGTTGGTTAAACACCACTTGGTGATAACTTGATAAAACGACGCGCTAGATGTTGCAAAGACCTCTTGCCAGCGAGTAAACAGGTCGAAGGACAACCAGATCCTTACGGTGGAAGAGAATTATGTAGCCAGGAGTGACCAGCGGATCTGGCCGGCGTCGAAAACTCGGGAGAAGTGGAAGAGAATTATGTAGCCAGGAGAGACCAACGGGTCTGGCCGACGTCGAAAACTCGGGAGAAGTGGAAGAGAATTATGTAGCCAGGAGAGACCAACGGGTCTGGCCGGCGCCGAAAACTCGGGAGAAGGGGAAGAGAATTATGTAGCCAGGAGAGACCAAAGGATCTGGCCGACGTTGAAAACTCGGAAGAAGTGGAAGAACAGCATACACTCAGACTGTTTTGGTACCATCGGAATTGGAACTCTGCGCTTGCTACTAAAGATGGGGACGAAGGGCTTATGGGAACGGCACGAGTGTTATAATGTCGGTTCTTAACTCGTAATTAAAAGCAGGTAAAGCTCCCTTATCAAGCCTTTAGGCGCATCGGGTATATGGGAAGAGCGCCCATATTTTTTCCGACCGTCGGCACTAGGTGGGTAATGTGGTCAGCATTACGCCGGCCGTCTCTACTTCCCCAGGACAGCCATCCTGGTACCCAGTTTAGTCTAAGTCGACCTGCGACGCCCCATACCACGATAAAAAT